CTTCCCCCCAGGGTAATTTAACACCCTAAAGTGATTGATTTAAACCGTGATGAGAAGCATGGAGCTCTGTTAAAACATTGCTTTTGTAAGGTAATGTCACCATATTAAGACTACCTGAAAACCTTTAGATAACGTGAGAGTTAAAGATCAATATTAGGAGATAAAATGGTCGAACGGTTTAGCCCTATAGTCAGACGTCATAAGTCAAATGAGTCTGTCTTTTCTTTGCCTGCTTCATGTCTCTCATTCTCTTTGTGTTATAGGCTGAACGATTGAGTGCTTTAAGAACATAGCGGTGATTTGTTTTATGTACAGAAAAGTAAGAGCACCGGCGGCCCCTTTGAAGCCCACTTCAAATTTATTGTTGTTTTTCCAGGAGAGGCGTTTTTTAAATTACGGCTCATTGTGAGTGGATCTGCTCCTTTGCTGTTTTTGGACAGGGGATTACATTTTATGTCTGGAAACAAGTATTAGAACATTTAAGGGAGAGAGTTTATAGGGATAACGTATTTGTCTTGAAAGGTCAGAGATCATCTTGTGCCGGCACCTTGTTCTTCTGTATTTGATTATTATAAATTGTCCCAAAGCCAACTGTCCCCTACAGCAGTAACCATACATCATCCAAGCTTCTCCTGTGTGATGTGAAGCTTTGCGTTAACTCTGTCCCTGTGTTGCTCCTCCAGGCCATTGGTTTCCAACAGCTCTGGTTTATTTCCAGTTTTATGTTAAGGCAAGCTGGTAAATCACCTCTGCTGGTCGCCCTGTTTTCATGCCAGAGTAACAAAGAACCCAAATTGGCTCTTACAGAATAAGAGACACCTTGCAGCGAGGCACCCTGCCGTGTCTCCTATTGACCGTGAGGGTTTACCTTCCCTCCAGTAGAAACAGGTGCTCCTTCAAAGTCTGAGAGTGAGAAGCAGCATCGGTGCAACTCTTTTTCTTTTTTTTTTAAATGAAACATTCATGTCAAAGATCAAATAAATTATAAAGGGCAGACTTCGAAATCTCAAAGGTTGTGGTTCAGGATTTGTTTGAAGTAAATCGCTGTCAAATAAATCGTACTAGTGGAGTTCGCTGCTAAAGATCTTGCATAATTCAAGCTGATTTCTTTAGAGTAGAGGACCAAAAAAACGGCATCAACTGATCAATCATGTTTGCTATCCTCCTGCATAACGTTATTAAAGCCACTGGATCGAGTTACCAGCACGTAGTGTTGGAACTAGCTTTTCAAGGTTCAAGGTTCAAGGTTCTTTATTTGTAATACGAACAGAGTAGTGTCTTTGAAAATCTTAGGTCACAGGCTTCTCCAACAGTGCAACACAATAATACAGATAAACAGAAAAATATAGTGCAAGTAAATATTAAAAAGTAAAACAATTTTGAAATAGTTTAAAAAAGTGAAATAAGACTATATGCAAGCAGAATGATATATTAGATAAATAGATAAATAATTACTAAGTAGCAGATGAATGTTATGGATGTTGTTTCAACAGTTCAGGTGTTTAACAGTCTTATTGCCTGTGGGATGAAACTGTCTCGGAATCTGGTGGTTTTTGCTTGCTTGCTTGGAACCGAAGCAAGCATTGCACATTTGAATGATTGCTCCTGATGTTTAGCATGGTACAATGTTTACAATGTAAACATTCAGTACATTAGCATGCTAGCATAGTACATTTCTAACTACTGACGCTGATAGAATTGTCAATAGAAGTGCGAGAATTTAATCGATCCATCTTTTTTGACCTGGTGATTGGCAAGTTGAAAAAATGAAGGGACTAAAGTTTCTCCAAATATGAACGTTTGTACCAGATATCTTAGCAATCCATCCAATACTTTTAGAGACATCTCACTCAAAACTTTAAATGTGAACCTTATGGTGGCCATGGGGGAAATCAAGGGTAGGATTAACCCCTTTAGGAAACATTCATATTTGTACAAAATGTACATAAGCAACCCAGAATGTATCATCAATATCCAAATATGTCAGTAAAATCCCAAAATATCAATCTTATGGTGGTTCAAGAGGAAATGTCAAAAGATTATCTAAGTCGAAAGGATTTCTCCTCTGGTGACCGTACATGTCTGTACAAAATTCCATGCTAATCCATCCCTTAGTTGAAGAGATATTTTGGTCTGGATCAAAGTTGTGAGCCGACCTAGTACAAGTGGAGTGACGAGTCCCATACCTGTAGCAGAGTGTGAGCCAATCCCTTTACTTTGAACCTGTATCACAAGGGATTACCGTTGAGATTTGCACTACACAGCAGACAGGAAGCTGTTAAAGACGAAGACCAACACTGCATCCTGACCTCTGACCCCTACATCCTGACCTCTCCTTCAATCTGACATGAGCCCTTGTCTACATGAAAGCTGTCCTGTTGACTCACCAGGGCTAATTTAGAGTTCCGGTGCCCCCGACCACTGTGAGGACAGACAGTCAACATGCCGGCCTTGTGGAGAACACTTGGAAGACAGACCTGTTTTCACCCAATACTCTTAACTCGTGTTTACTCTGGCACCTTGAAATTTGTGTTAATCAACAACAAACACAGAAAGAGACGATCAAATGCAAAGCTGTGCAGAAGCGAAAAACAAGCTTGACCTCAATACTTCAAATTTGACATCAAAATGTAGTTGTAGTTTGCCCTTTTTCACCAATTTTGTCCAAACAATATGTTTTGTGTTATTGCAGTTAATATTAGCCAGTTGCCAAGGGCTTCAAATCTCTGCTGATGAAGTCTTAAACCTAGTCTAACAAAAGCCAACCTCACACTGTGCCACCTGCCACAGCTAAAGAGATTTTGGTCATTACTTGCTCCTTTTTAAATATCACCAAACATCGGCCCTTTCATCGTTCTAAGTGCGTGACCTCCATGTTCACAGCTTCTCTAACCGTGACTGACAGATCTTGTGAGGGTCAGTGCAGGACTAATTTTATACCACTGCTTTTAATGGGACCTAAAAATAGAGTGCTTCGCTGACCTCCTGTTCAGTCGGGTCTTGGCGGCTCATTTGAGGTCCACCTCCCCTCACACACACGTCACCTTGAACAAACTGCTTCTTTATTTTTAGACGCTCCCGAAATTAATTGAATTGTCTTGTTTCGTTCAATTTGTGCAGTGTTACGTAAGGGGATTACTCGGTTGTTATCGCCTATGCCCTGACCATGGCCACCACACGGAGGAGGGAGGTAGAGACAGACTTGGGGTGGAAGAGGAGGGTAATGTAGTTAAGGTAGTTCCAGAAATAACCCAGCTGCGGGCCTAATTGTACATCTCTCTCGCCCCCTCTTCCCTCTTCAGCTGCATGCCAAGGTCTCTGACCTTATCATACACCTCACTGGTTCCGGAAGAATCCTTTCCGCCCCCTGCAGCTACCAAAGGCCCGGCCGATACACGGAGCACAGCAGCAGACCATCTCCAGCCTCAGACTAACAGCCAAGCGCCACAACCAGTTAGCAGTGATCCTAGCAGAGCGCCCAAGTGGCTCAAACTGCCAGGTATGTTCTAATCATCCCCGGTGTGGGCCCCGTGGCTCCTTAACAAAGCTTAGCCTTAGGACCCCAGGCCCCTCAGAGAGACCGGGGCCTCCAGGAAACCCTCATGTCACAGCAGTGTATACAGTCAACATGCTGACTCTGTATTTGCATCCTCTCCAATCACGCAAGCTTTCTGTAAAAAAAAAACATCACGCACACCAAACACGACCATGTTTTGTTGTTTTTCTGACAGCGCCGTAAATGTTTGTTACTTTTCATGTGTGCGTGAGTTGCATGTGGAGCATTTAAGAGGAATTCACTAGCTCTGTGTCCCCTGCAGCATTCCTCCATGGTTAGAAAGCTCCAGGGGCCACAAGGGCCTCTTGTCTCTAATGCATCACAGCCCTAGATCAAGCACAACGTGCATGCGAGCACATACATGCACACAAACTTCTGAGAACAGATGCATGCCATCAGATATTTATTATAGAAATACTCAAAAACAAATGTAATTGATTTGTTTGGGGTAGAAATTACACAAATGGCAGATGACGCCTGTATCGTCAGTTGGAGATTTCATGTCATATCCTGTGTTTCATTTAATTATTCTTGCTTGCGTGACAGAATATCTTGTTTTTATTTCCCTGACTTTTATAGCATAAGCCTTCGATCCTAAATGTAGCTCATGTGCATGTTTTTACAGCCATTGTGATCACTCAACATAAACAGGACTTGAGTTTGGGCCAGAAAAGATAGGAGCCTTTACATGGCAGAAAGTTAGATATTTGGGAGAAGCTGTGTCACTCTAATAGAAAACAAGAACCACAGACGAATGAGTCGGGAATTAAGGAGTGAAATCTGACATTTGACACTTAAAGGACTCTCAAGAACAGATGCAGCCGACTCCACCCCAGACAAGCATCACCCTTAACCTTGATTACTGCAACTACATCCAATTGCATTTTTTTTTTCATGGATTAAAAACCTACAGTACATATGACAAGTCCTCCCAGAACCGGAACATGCCTTTGTTTTTAGTTTATCATCAAGAATAATCCTGCCAGTCAATGATGCTTCTATAAAAGCAGTATTGATATTATTGGCTACAATAAGGCAGATATCTTCAAGTGATATCCTCATTGTCCCAGGCGCAGTGCTGTCCAAAGAAAAGCCAGAAGGGTGGAGACAGATCAGTGTGCTTCTCCTGGGAAACGCTTCTCACTCCAGAGCTTCTCCAAAGCGTCTGGACTGGCTGTCGACACTCCCTGCCTTTAATGTATGATCAAGAAAAAGCTTTAACTCATTACTCTCTTCAATGCCCCTCCCCATTCTTGTCCTAACTGCTTTCGTATGTTTAATAATACTGCTTTCAGTTGTAATTTGTTCCACTAACATGCATAAGGAGAAGAGTTGCACAGTAGTGCCCTTAATTTACCAAGACTAAGACGTTCCAACAACCTGTATTGTGGATAAGAGAGATGACGGATCCAACTGGGTAATATGGAGAAAATTCAAAGTCATATTTCTCATCAAATACTTCAATTTTAATATTGCAACAATATTGGAAGGTTTACTGTTGGTGCTTTCACAAAATATTCAAATGATTACGTTTTTCATAGTCATTAGTTATGTGGATATAATGGCTGAGTTGGTAAAAGCAAATAACAGTCTAGAAAAATCTGAAAATTACATCCATTTACTATGCTTTATGAATATATCCAAATGTAAGAGGATATTTATTCTCATATCAGGAAATCAAAATGAAATAGATGTTTTTCCGAGCCGTAGATCCAACAGAATCACTGTTTTTATTTAATCTACAAGGATTGATATTTATATTTCATCTCTAAAATGCTCCAGAAAGGCTTTATAGCGAGACACATCTTTTACACGTATTGCTTACTGTGGTTAAGTGGAAATGCAGTTCCAGTAAGATCATTTGGTGTCATACTTCATAATAAATAGTCATCTGGGTTAGCGTGTTGTCAAAGCGGTGGATCTGCATTTGTATATTGCACCAAACTGTACCTGCCGCTGTGAATGACTAGTTATAAACCCAACAAATTATTTCTTTACTGTTTTTTTTGCGCTCATGGCATCATTAAAATAAACTTAACTCGGCCTAACACACCTTCATGAAGGCCTGCTGTGGAAGTTTCTCCTGGGAAACACAAATCCAGTCTGGGCCCTACTAAAAAAGGTGCTGGGTCAAACTCCAGGTGCTGTGTCCTTGAGCACCTATCGGAGCCTGGACTCTTGAATTTAGCCGGAGTTGCTTCCAGCTGTATGTGAGCCATGTTTGTAAGCGTAGTGACTCACTCAAGAGACACACAAATAAATAGTGTGAGGTGTTGTACAGCTATGCTGACTCATAGTGGAGACATGTTGGTCAAATACACCACGGGTGGAAAACCATCTGAGGCCCTTGGGTTAGAAAAGCCCACATTACCCTCTCCCTTGTAGGCCTGACTCCCCCCTCTGCTGTGGTGAAAGGAGAGAAAGCACCTCTACTACTCGCCTCTTTGTTTATTTACCTTCAGAATTACACCCTGCTCCTCTTGGACCATGTTCCAATGTGTTTTGTTATGTTTCCTTTCAAACAGAATATCTATGCGTGTGGTCTCTGGCCATGTTTAGCTAGCACGCACACATTCGTGCACGCACACTCCCATTCAACTTTCCCCCTGTGCCAGAGGTCCCCTTTGCCCTTCCCCCCACCTCTAACTAAACATCGCAGGACAGCAAAAGGGAACTTCAAAGTGGCCGGAGGGGGTACTCCTTTTTTCCTGGCACTTGTCATCATCTAAGGGACTGGCTGCTCCCCTTATTACTCTAATTGCTTCCAACTGCTCCAGGAGGCTTTGATGAAGGGCACTATGGAGCATGCTGGAAGCACCTGTTGTTGCAGAGGAGCACAGGTGGGCCTTATTGGTGGTGGCATGAAAGGGTGTGCACAGTACACGCTGCTTTCTATGTAAAATCACTCGACTCAAATACATATAGAACGAAAATCTTGATGTAATCTCAGATTTGAGTGATTATGAAATTGCAGTCGTACAAAGAAAAATAAACATGTTGAATTGAAGTTGTTGGATTTAAACAGGAACAAGCAGGCAACACTCTGGCTCCATCTTGTGGCATCACCGTGCTAGAAGTCCATCAGCTGTGTTGGAAAAGAGACAGAGATTAAGCTGTGCATTGAAGCTATATGTCCAATTTCCAATTTTGAGTAGAATTGTATATGACCATCAGCTGCTACAATCAACTACTAGCAGTTTGAGCTGGTTTTGCACAGTATTTCAGAAACATTTATTTAACTTCTCTTTAAATCTGTAAAGACAGATCAATAGACAAACAAATATCTCCAACAATTTTGATAATTTTAATGCATAAAGAATGTTTTATGGCAAAAATAACTGAATGTTACAAACCTCTAAAATACGGAGATTTTTTGCTTTCTGTTTATGCTATATTGGCTTTTGGAATGACAAATACATTTAAAGAAATGATTCATCACTAATACAAATGTAGGTAGGGCCTATATTTATTCTTATAATTAGATGTAATCATACCGTATCATTTGAAAGACCTTGGTTTGTCAAAGAAATGATTCAGAATTCAGTACGTCCAAATAAGAAAAATAATATAAAATGCCCTGCTGGTCTAATAAACAAAAACATTACACGGCACACTGCAGCAGTTTATGATTATAATGTATAGCTCTTGAACCACAATTTACTCACCAGCTGAGGCAGGATCTTTTCAAAGTGCTCGATGTCCACTTGGTCACAGTCCTCAGAAGCAGCTTGTTTCTGTGATCTCACAGCAGCCTCTGGAAAGAGATACCACATTCAAGGCTTCATCATAACACAACCTGTGCACAAATGTACCCAACAAAACTTCTTACCTCGGACAAATATTCTGAGCATCTCTGCCACGAGCAGCGCAGCATCCCCACTCACTGTAAGAGAGGGAGGGTTTTTGAGTTGTCAAGTCAATAATAAAAGTTTTTGGATATGTTATATCAAGACATTATATCCAACTCACGTCTGGTTTTCTCCTCCTTAAAGAAGCTTGACAAGAGTTTGCTTACTGTGTCCTGTAAATGAGGAGAATAGAGAACATTGTGCATGTGACGGACAAGAGAAGGGAGTAAATTGCCAAAAATACTTGTCTTTCGAGATTGTTTATTCGTTTATTCCACTCATGGCAATTATTATAAAACATGTACACTTTAGGCAGTTTCTATAGCCCCTGATGTAAAGGAGGAGGGAGAAGAAATTTGTATTTTACCTGCCCCTTATTTTATCACAGCTGCTTACAAAAACTTACAGTAACGTGAAACCAAAATCACAATCAAAAGTCAACACAACAATCGACAATCAGCAAAACAGGTTACCTGACATCTTCACATTGTCTAATTATTCTTTCTTTATACCTTTTCTTAAACCTAAAGATGTTCATACAGCCCTTTAAACCCCCTTGTGTGAATGTCCCCGCTGTACAGTGGGACCTTTATATACAGTCTATGTGTGGGACTGATAAAGGATTTCTGATTGTGAATCTTTAAATTATGATAATCTATGTTTACAAATAAGATTAATACTAAGTAAAGTGCGCACTGTCATTAACACAAACCAGGCATACATTTTTTAAATGTCCTACTTGGTTATCTGAAAAACAAACAGAGAAAATATATAATCGTACAACTTGCTGCTGCGTTCTTCCTCATGCCAAACTACCTTTGAAAAAAACGGCATTTTAATGGGATAATACACCTAACACAGTGCCATCCCTGAATATTGACAACAGATACGATAATTTTATATAACTTTGAACCGCTTTCCCATTCGGCATACATTTAACTAACTGAATATTATTTTAGCAAGGACTAAAGTGTAATCGTCTGTATAATAATACAGAAACAATGTATGAGCTCCGTGCACAGGGTCAGCCTGAATGCTTAATTAAATCAAACAGATGCGGCAAGTTAAAAGCAATATTCGTTATTATTTAACCCCAGCAGGTTAAAACAGCCATTGTCTAAACATATTCTTCTACCTTTTTGAATCCAATGTCTTCGTTCTTCGCCGCCATGTTTACTCCGCTGTGAGAAACTTGGCGCTCTGCGTAGGGATTGGTCATTAATCTCTGACGTCATTTACCCCGCCCTCCGTAGACCGTAAACGAAATGTAATATTTTTATATTATTTTATATTTATATTATATTTAATTTAAGCTTAGTTTGGATTGTATGATAGCTTTTCATACATACATATATATATATACATATATATACACATATGCATATATTATTATTTTTTTATAAATGGTTCTACATTATAATAAATATATAAAAGATTAGTTATTATACAAGTTATATTTGTTCAATAGTCATTAGTATTTAATATTATCTGTAATACAAGAAAAAGACAAAACTTAAACTGTAAAACACATTTATTCAAGCGCAACAATGTTAATCAACCATTAGCGTAACTTTTAACTGTGTTTTGCAGAGAAATATAATTGATTAATTACTAATCATAATGCATTCATTAACAGTCTCTTTACAAAGGGAGATAATATTCAAGCTATATTTGAACAATGCATACACCCTTGACAAACATGAAACAGAGAATTGAATACAACTATTATCACCCACGGTCTATAGTTATCATAAGACACAACATAGAATCAAAGCAGTATGTATCAGAGCAACTCAGAATAAAAAATAAAAAATCAAATAGGTGCAGTATATGTGTTTGTATGTAGCTGAGTATATGCTATCCTTGTGATGATTTTCTTTTGTTATCTAACTTCAGGCACAGAAGGCTACAGACAGTTAAACAATAAAAAAACGTTCGTCCTACAAGTTGCATTGTATAGGTTTTACTCCATCTTGTCATCTAACCACTGAGCATCTTCCAGGATGTAGCCCAAGCCCATTGATCGCCGTGGTCGAGGGAGAGCAACAGCTAAGGCAGCCTCCTTCTCTGAATCCTCGTCCATCTGAAAGATAGATTTTTATAGTTGGCCAATGAGGACTCAGTCAGCAAATCTTCACTTTATAAATCAAATATTGCTCATCAAGTCGTCTTTCTATAAGATTTCTTTATGTCCGTAATAAAATCAGGCATGAGACCAGCTCTTCTCCAACAGAGACAAAAGACTCACCTTTGGACTGACAACACGCCTGACTTCGACATCGCCTCCAATGTAGTGAGGTCCAGCCCATTCTGCTCTGTCTGCTTCATCCTCTGTAGAAAACCTCACATAGGCCATTGCATTTTTTTCCCCCAAGTTTGGGTTCTTCTTAACCTTGGATTAAATCAAACAGGTGAAGGGTCGTTGTAAAAGTAAGTGACAATGTCCTATATCCAAAACATAGTTAAAAATATACATCAACTATGTCACAAAATTGTTTCATATGTCCATGCCTCACACGCTGTCATGGTGCCCCATTCTCTAAAGTAAGCTCGTACATATCCTTCATTTAAGTAGGGAATCAGGTCTTTTACAATCACCCCGTGGTCCTGTAAAACAATAGGAAATCATTATCCTCATGGCATATTGCAGCAAATTAAAATTAAAACGTATTCATGTTCAATATGTTTTCAGAAAACATGTTTACCAGTTGATATGTTTGAGCCAAAGCCGCCATGTGTTTCTTTGGAAGGCAAATGTAAACTCTTTTTGGAGTCTTCATGTTCATTTTATCTGGAGGGAAGGTGAGATTTTGGAAAAAAAAGAACACAAAGTAAATAGAATTAGAAATAAAAGGATTTCAAAAAGTACAAATGTGAACATTTTAGGAAATTAGAACATGACAATATAGAACCCTTACCTACCAAAAGTAATTCCTGAGATATTCAGCAACCTACTCAGACAGCTCAAAGTCCCCTGCTGTGGAGTTGGAGTCCTTTTAAGTCACAACAAGTTAATCTCTTGCCGATTATTTTCTTGGAAATCCCACTAGAAGTTACCAAACTTGTTCAGCAGCCAGTGGGGAAAGCATTTTAACTCCAAAATATGTTACAAGATAATGACATCACCAGAATGGATCCATAGGGTTTGCAAACTGCATTCTAACATGCTTTAAAGGGTAGTAGTTATATATATATATTTATAAAACGGACAAGTCAAATCAAGCAATCTGATTGGTTCTTAGCCGTGATATACTGAGCGTATACCACGGGTAGAATTGTAAATTACTTTTCACAACAAGTCAGTAAAGTGAGGTGTCCTAAAACCCGGAAGTAAGTTAGCATTTTTACCACGTCCGGTTCCTTCGATAAAAAGCAATACAATTTCTCCATAGGATTTTGGAAAATAGCTGGAAATAAAGTCTGTGTTTGAGACGAATTGAAGAGACGGATCACGTTTTGTTCTACGACATTAAATCCATCAGCAGTGACCCCACTGGTG